CCCCTTTACGTTATCTAGAAACTCGTTTAAATTCTCAATGGCTTTCTGGAATTTATTGAAAATGGAATGTATTTGGTGAAAAAGTAACTTTGAGATTGTATTTAAATGGGCTCCTTTATTAAGGTGAATATTGGTCGCAGCAAAACACCGGTTTTGTAGATTGTAGGAGGACAATATATCCTGACAATTGTTGGTTCATCCTGTTTTATTGACTTGGCAAAATCCTCCCAAGATTAATTCCGCTCCTATGCGTCATTACAGCGTTTTTTTAATACACGAGCTCTGCAATTCTGTGGGGTCGGCGGCCAGATGTTCGTCTTTTAAGAGTGACATTATTTTCTCTGTGTATTCCCTTTTTGACCAGAATGGTGGTGGCGCATCTTCTGTCGGTAGGGCGTATTATGATGTCTACGTTTTGCTCTAGTGCATTTAGTGCTTTTGTTTCATTGTAAGATATCGTTAAGAACTTATTTTGATTGTTCAAGGCCTGTATAGTGCTGCTGTCAATTGGGAATTGTTATTCTTTTGCAAAAGTTGTTGATGATATTATACGAGTTAAAGCCCAGCCCGGTTGGTAGATGTCTCCCGGAAAGCACTTGGAATAGGAGCCGTCCATCAACATCCGTTTCGAAAGTAACCTTGATTTTTAGATGCGTAGAGTTAAGATTCGTGTTGAGCAGGCCTAATTAGCTTTCCTGGATAATGGAAAATACGACATTATTGGGGCTAGTTACTGGAAGTGAAACTTATTCTGCATTACGGCTTTTGCCGGATATAGGCGAGTCCATAGGAGCGTCTCTTATTTACTGTCAGCACCGACTGATGAAGTATATTACGATTTTCTTAGACGGAGGACTCTGTTGGTAGTTATTATTAGTCGTCGAAAATTAGATAAGAAGTCAAGAAGTAGATATTAAACTAACCGCCCAAATCCGGATCTGTGGGATTTCCGCTAAGCCGTCTCCTACATCTATCCAAATATATTTTCAGACGTCACAACATGCGCGCTTCATGTTTAGCAGATACTTAGTCAGGTGGTCCTTTGTTACTCCTCGAGTAAGAACGATCCACTAACAGACGTCGTTTTTGAAATTAAAAAGCGTTCTCTGGGAGACCGCATGTACGAGGTAGCCGCAAGCAACAGTGTGGATAATAAAAATAAAGCACTTTGAAAGCAGCATCTTATTGTTGGATGCACCGGTTAGGGATACTATCGCTCGCGGCGGAATATTGGTTCTGTGAATTTCACGAAGGCCACATATATCTTGGTAGTTGTTGGTTCATCCTGTTTTAAAGACTTGGCACGATCTCCCGTAGTTAATTTCTCTCTTTTACGGCGTTTTAGTGTTTTTCAGTACATGAGTTCTGCGAATTTGTGGGGTCGGCAGCTACAGGTCGGTATGTTGTATCATCTGTTAAGAGTGATATCACTTTTTCTGTGTAGTCCAATTTCACCAGAACGGTGGTGACATCTCCTTTGCCCGGCAGGTAGAAACATAATGTCTTTTTCGTGCTTTGGTGCATTTACTGCTTTCGTTTCATCGTCAGATATCGTTGTGAACTTGTTTGGGTCCTTCAAGGCTTGTACAGTGCTGCTGTCAATGATGAACTCTTCTTCTTTTGTACGATTTGTTGAGGATATAACTTAAAGCTCAAATGGGTTGTTAGATGTTTCCGCTAGCGCATGAAACAAGTTTTGCTGTACGAGGACATGTAGAAATGGGAGTTTTTCATCAACCTCCGTTTCGAAAATAACCTCGATTCTTTGAAATGTGGTGTTGTTTTTCGTGTGGAGCAGATCTCATTTATTTACCTGGATGATGGCAAATTCGTCACTGACACAGCAGGCTTATCAGTTTGGGCTAGCTAAAAGAAGAGCCATAGGTTCTGCATTACAACTTCTTCCGGATATAAACAAAGTCATCGTAGCGTCTCTCAGTTACTGTCAGCACCGGCTGATGGATGTTATTGCGATTTTCTTAAACGAAGGACCCTCTGGGCGATGCTGACTAGTCTTCTAAAAATTCGATAGGAAGTAGATATTAAACTAATCGCCCAAATCTGGAGCTGTGGGACTTCTGAGCAGCCGTCTTCTGCATCTATCCAAATGTATTCTCAGACGTCGTAAAATATGCGCTTTGTGTTCAGCAGATACTCAGTAAAGTGGTCTTTCGTTACTCTTCGAGTAAAGGCAATCTACCCCCAGATGACGTTTTTGGACTTAAAAAGCATTTTCTCGGGGACTACATGTCCGCGGAGGCCGCAAGTAACAGTCTGCATAACAAAAATGAAGGCATTTCGAAAGAAATGCGAGGGTGAGAGCTGAGGAGCCTATTCCGCAGGGTAAGACAACTGAACCCGTCAGAGCCGGTAATATGGTTAATGTGCAATACAACACTGCGTTCTGATTATGAACAAATCCAAGTATGTGCATTGCACGAAAACGATGATGACAAGTAGCATTCAGGATCGCAGGCTATCTAAGTTGTAAATTCGAGTTTCTAGCTTTGTAAAAAAGGTGTGATGTGGTTATAAAGCCCCACCTGATAGATGCAATACTGTTGGAGTTGAAGTTAGGGTTGGGGGTTGGAGTAAGGGGTTGGAGTTAAGGTTAGGGATTGTGGTTAGAGTTAGGAGTTAGTTTAACTGTTTCTCAACCTCTCAAATACAACCTCACATTTCTGATAGATTCCTTTTTACACACAACTGCTTAATCCCGCCGCGTGTGCGACTGAGACAGCTGCGACCATTCCATCAACCAAACGATCTTGATTGAACCAGTGTTTTTCGGTTTTGATTAGGAAGGACTGGCGGCGGAGTCTGGACGGAATGGCCATCTTTTCAACGCAAGCCTGTAGAGGTTTCACTGTTTTTTGCTACTGACTGTTATTCGACATGTTTTCAAATAAATCTGCCAAAATTAACTTGATTTGTGGACGCACGACGATTATACGAATTTCACTGATTCTGTATTACTATTCGGGTACAGTTTTTTGTCAAGAGGAGTAGTGGGAATCGCTGAAGTCTGGAAGATTGCTATCACATTTGATTCAGAAGTGACTGCATGTTTTTACTCTTTTCAGAAGCGACGGATAAGAAAGGAGTTTTTCGGATGTATGCATGCCCCAAGTAAACTCTTGGCAGGACACACAAACCCACCTCAAATCGTCCCATGTTGAGGATTTTGGTTATATCTAAGCCTAAGGTCCACTGCCATTTCGGCTTGTCGGCATATTTTTACTGTTCGACTGAACTAGGTAACAATATACTTTTTAATGTGTGTGTGGTTGTTAAACTGAAAACCCTAATTCTGTTCACTTCGTTTCAGTTTATTGAGGGGAATAGTACCTTATTTGCAACGTAAAATTTGTGGTATGAAGAAAAGTTTTTTGGTCTGAAATAGTTCAAACAAGCCCATAATGGTAGGAAAAAATGGGAACGAGGTACAGAGAGTGAGCTCTACTTCTCATCGCTCTTGGTCATTTCGGAACATAATTATGCCAAGGTTCTTTTTAAAACTTTTTATACATGGCGACATCATAATGTCTGCGGGAAGGGCATTCCATGGTTAGACAACTCGAACAGGGAGGTAGAACTTCCGCACCTACAGTCTTGCCTGCTGATTGCGCAGTTTAAACGGGTGACTACGGAGGTTAGACGTGGTAGCAAATTCAAAAAAGTCCTCGAAGGTCGGGCTGCAATCCAACCCCTTTACAATGCGCAATGCTTGCAAGATATCCCGCTAAGTTTTCTGTAAGCCAAGGGGAAGAGGTAAATATTTACTAGGTGGGTTGCATAAGGAAAGGAGCTTTGACCCCTAACCATCTTCGCTGCTCTCCTTTGAAGTCTTTCGAGACCGTTTTGATCCTCAGTCGCCCACTGTCTCCAGGCTTGTATGCCGTATTCCAAGTGCGGTTGCGAGAATGCTCCGGATGGTTTTGAGAAAGCATCTTCGTCAAAATCCATAAGCACACGCTTGGTGGCGTACAGTACGGACATTGTGCTTTTTATCAGTCTCAACCAATTTGTGGATTGCCTTTGGCAACTGGTCGTCAGCAAACCGAGGTCCGATCATTCTTTTTTAAGTTTATGTACAGCCTGTGGTGTGGCACAGAGTTGAAAGCCTTCTGGAAGTCGATGAAGACTAAGTGGACCGCGTGCCTGTCGTAGAGAGCTTGGGTCCAGCTATGGAGAGATTGGAGCAGGTTTGTCGTGCGGGATCTTGCTTTCCGGAACCCATGTTGGCAGTTCGATAGCAGGCCGTGAACTTCCAGGAATTGCATCAGTTCACTCCTTATGATCCTTTCTATGACTGCAAAGATACACGTCAAGCCTATTGGAATTCCTCGACTGAGTCGCTAGTCAGGTGGGATTCATAGAGGGTTATAAGCACACTGAATTTGCCCCCCCTTTAAGTTATTCAAAGCGATACCAAGGAGGGAGACGTGCTTGCTTACAAAACGCCAGTGGTCCCGAGGTGTCCCTCCCAGCTCAGAGAAAATCAAATAATTAGAACATGTCTATTTTTTAGAGTTCAGTATAAAGAATTGGCCAAATCGAACTTGTGGAGTGACTATTACTTGCGGGTTCACCGCCTACGACGCTTCAGCATCCGGCTTTTGGTATGCGTGCAAACATGATCAAGGCGAACCTTTCAAGTGGCTTTCTTTCGTCAACAATCTGGTCACCCTTTTTAATGTGTACTCCGAATCTCGTATATTCGGATGCGTCTGTAATTGATTTAATATGCCTAAATCGACGAAACATCACTAATCACTCGAACTCAGTTCAAATGCATCTACCAAAGAACGAATGTAATTATAAACAACTTCACATTAAGTAAAAACGCAAATTACCGTGTATTCGCATGTAGAAATTAACATCAAAACAAATATTTATAGGAAGAAGCTGAAAACACACACCGCGCAGAACCTCGAATTGCCAACAAGTTTCAGAAATCAACCCATTCCAATTATCATACCCATCAACCACGTGTTCTTTTACTTCACCTTGAAGGCGTTAGCATTGTCGATGAAGGTTAAAATTGGCACTGTCGCGTCATTTCTATTGGAGGGAGTCATCGTAATACGATCAACTCTGCCGGTTGAGAAGTTTATCTCCAATAGCCGAGGCTTCGTGCTCACATGCCCCGTAAAAAGTACGACGGGAAATTTCAAAACTCCTACAAAACCAAGATGCATGTAGTTAAACGGTCGTACATGAGTAATCGCTATCTGAATATTTCTGCTTAGATAAACAGAGCACCATAACGTTTAAAAAATTCGCCTTCCAGTCGGAAGTATTAACTAACCAGTTTTGCCAAGGAGAGAGATCATAGCGTTGTTAATATCGCACTGCGTAATATTGCCGACGATGTCTATTTCCTGAAATTACAAAAACACGACATTGCATCGCAACCGTTACTCTACCTGTGTAGGCACTTGCCTGTGAGGGTGGCCCAAGATGATTGGGAGTGAAGTGAATAAATGGCAAATTCGATAATCGAACTCAAAAAACTACTCGATTTAAACAAAAGGTCTGCATTTAACCTAGGTTTGAACACGATTTCGCCACATCAGTTCACTCTCAAAGCTGACAACGTTCCCTTATGGATCGCTATCGTTGGTCCGATATGCCGAGACAAATCAAGCAATAATTTCGATTAACCAGTTGCCATCTTGCATTTAGGAATATTCGAATATTTACCCGAATATTCTCAGTAAATAGTAGAATGTGGATGAGTTGCTCGTTTTGGTGAAGTTCTTTTGCGACGATAGACCTCGCACCATTGGTCAGTTGCGGGACTATAAGAGACAATTTCGAATTAAGATCAGTGAAAACAATTAATCTTCTAGCTCATACAAGCACCTACATTTGCTCGCATCTATCTGAGGAGCCTCAGTACGCTCCTGTTATTGCGATTTAGGAGGCTAAATTTATGAGTGTTCGAATTAAGTGCTTTTTCAACTTACAGTCTGGCGTGCCAACTCTTTTGTACTGAGCTGCAACTGGGCTGCCGCTAGCGGGGTTCACAGGTTGAACCGTGAAGGCTGCCTTGGTTCCTTGCAGTCTACCGATAGCGATGAGGTATCTTTCGGCTTATAAAAAGTGAAGTGTTTTGACACCTGTTAAATACGGATACAATTGCATACTGTTCTTTAGCAATACCGCATTTGTCGCTTGAAAAAATATGGCAGAATTTAGTTGGAACTGAACCGGCATTAGTTAGCTGCGCGAGCAGTGTGCTTACGTGCCTTGGCACTCATTAACGGTAGAAGGAGACACATTCCTTGCAAATATGGAAATATATATATATATGTCAGCGAGGAGGCAATACAGGAATGCGGGTTAATTAATACAGTAGACTAATCGATTAGTCTACGCGCAGTTCACGTTGACCTTGCCGTTTTACATCGATTTTCTCTGTCGATATTCAAACCTTTGTACCTTTCTCACTTGTTATTTCTGTTATGCAACGACCGGCAGCAGTTGAGAAGCGGTCGCGAAATTTTGTGGTCCCATTAAATTCTGCTGTCCTTGCTTGCTTCAAATTATGTGATATTTAAGACTGTAAATGTTCACCTTTTTAATGCTGCCTGTCAATTATTCAACGGGACTCAAATCCACTGTAAAAATTTTTGAACATCACATAGTGTCACCCTTGTAGCGCATAGAAAATATCTGACTTTCCTTAAACGGCAGACATGCACGTTGGAGTCGGAAAGGGCGGGTTTAAAGTTATTCGGGAGTTACAACGTTTTTCAAAACTGAATTAAACTACTCTTTCGATTATACAATATAATGAAGACGCAATGGCGGAGAGAAAGCTGTCACATGAGCAATTTAATATTGCATTTATAGTCGACAAATCGGTTCTTGTGCAAGTTGTACAAAATACTGCCTTGACTATGATATTTTGTCACGGAGAAAAAATCTACTGCACATCTTACGGTAAATGACTTCCCAACAGTCATTCGGTGGAACACAGTGTGAGCCATTGGCGGGCCGGGAAATGTTTACGCCGTCCACGGACAAAAACTGCAATAAAAAGGTCATTATTATTTCAGGTATAAAAGCAAGTCATTGCGCTAGACAATTCGTACCGTAACATTGCCGAAGATCCTCTTCGTATAAGCATAATCACTGTGCTCTTTGAATTCCAAAGTGCTGTTGACCACTGCAAGGGAAAGAACAAGGATCAGCAGTTGACTCTAGCGTACTCACACATTTGCTTAATTTTAAAGCTATTCACATCATCCAGGAATACATTGTTAACTATGCTGAGAAGTTCACTACTTCTTGACGTAGTAGGGATGAGTTCATTTATCTAAATGCATATTTAAACTAACGTTCCGCAAACTCTCTTGTTTCCATTATCAGTGTGGTGTATTGGTCCATCCTGCCGGACTTGAACGCCTCAGCCTTGATGGCTGTTTGGTAATACATCCGTGCTCGACCCATGAATGTTGACCTAACCGTCAGCTGGAGTGGTCGACGCAATTAGCAGCGAACGGCCGGGTCACCGTTCGTGCTTCGACCACGACTACATCACCAGACAGACAGCAAGGCGAAAGCAGTCAAGTCTAGCGAAGAGAACCAGCGCACCATTCTGATGATGCAAACGAGAGAGTTTCCGAAACGTCTCAATCCAAATATATATATTTCGATCAATGGACTCCTCCTTCCTTCTTTGTACTCTTCGGGGGATAAAGAACACAATAAGGAAATCTGGACTTTAAGGATTTATATATACTGCATTATGAAATAAGCTAAAATGTTCCAGATGGCGAAGATGAAAATTTTAAAGCCACGTCACCTTCTCCTGTGACCTCATAGGAAAGCGTCAGTAGCAGTAGTTGAAGAAACATTTCGAAGTAATTATGCACACAAGAAGTTCAAATCTGCGCTTTTATACACTCTATGTGCCAATGATCATGCGCAAACGAAGACCAATAAAATTACTCCACAGGTCCCTTGGACGCGACCCTTAACTGGGGAATACGGCGACAAATAACGTCCCAGTCAGTACATTGGGCGATTAGTTGTCATGCGTGTAATGCCCAGACATAGGAAGAAAACGCCATCTGGCAAATGATTTGTCAAGTTTGACGACTTTCCTCCTCATCTAGTAGTTCGACTGTCGTATCAGACAATGTCCATTGTGCGTTCCACAGCAAGTTGAGATCAGGGTCGGTGACTTGCGCGTGAATTAGCTCATAGTGAGAGTGATGCAAATGGTAATGTTCTCACGAGCCAACGAGTTACATTTGGCGAGTCCCTAGCCTTAAAGGCAGCAAGTAAAACTGAGCCGTGAATAAAATAGATATTTTAAACGTAAAGTAACCTGACAACAGAGCGCAACAGCAACGCAGGCCAGTAAGGCGGGTTGTACAGGTGTGTCGTTTCTCGTCGCATTTAAACAAGCAATCCGGTCAAAGAAAATGGGACTAAATTGCCAAAGGTAAATTATTTCGGGCCCTCACCACGCACCAGACCATAACAATAAGCCCTTACCATAAGCTTAACGACTAATCCAAACAGTATTGTGTCCATCAAGTGGGGATACATAACCACATCTTACCCAATAATTTATAGCCCAGAGAAAGATGTGCAGAAAATAAATCCATTATTTTGTAGACAATTTTTGAAAGAAATCTGCTCATGTTTATATGAGGAGATTGCAGCGTATAGGAGCCAATCCATTTAACAATTTGAGGTTTTGTACACGGACTGACAGAATAGTGGTTTTAAGTATCCCGAGCTACACATCAGGCACACCTAGGACGGACGCTTTAGCAATTTGCAATCAGAACGACCATAACAAAAACTGCATAGATACTCACGTCTGAGAAACTAGTCTGGGAAAAAATACATTCGATTTTGTCGAATAAGGAAATGCTCAGTACGGCAGAAAAGGAGAAGTATCTCAGCAGTCCCTACCCTTAAAGGCAGCAAGTAAAAACTGAGTTGAGAATAATATAGAGATTTTGAGAGTTAAGTAACCTGACAACAGAGCGCGAGAGCAACGCAGGCCAGCAAGGCGGGTTGTACAGGTGTGTCGTTTCTCGTCGCATTTAAACAAGCAATCCGGTCAAAGAAAATGGGACTAAATTGCCAAAGGTAAATTAGTCCGGCACCTCATCGCAAGAGTAGATTTGCGCTGATTTGGTTGGGGAAAAACCGCATTGCAGGTAGACGTGAGACAAATTCGCATTTGTCCACTGGAGTAAATAAATCACCTCGAGCAGACGACAAGGGGTCAATTTATAATAACTTGCTTGTGCATCCTCGGTAGGTGTAGATTAGGAAGGGCGATTACACGTGCCGAAAAATACTCGAGACATGTGTCTGGCTATTATTGTCATTATGTAATACCCTTCCTAACTAGGCAAGCACTCAGCGAGTGCAAAGAGAATGAATGTGTCGTTGTCAATGAACACCCGTATACATGGGGAAATAGTTCTGCGTACCGTGTGTGCGACATGCATTGCCCAGATGACGACAGTTCGGCCGTCGAGTCTGACGATGTCTACCGTGTGCTACACGGCAAGGTGCAGCTGACACGGTGACTTGCGCGTAAATTCGTTTATAGCAGCACCTACCGCACTCTCCCTCCCCTCCACTCCCCACTTAGACCAGATGTCCAAACAGAGTCAAGAAGACCGAAGGTGTGGGAGGGGGCTGCTGGCTAGTCCACAACAAATATTTGACCAGCATCTTTCACCACCAACCACGAAAACAACACCCCAACGGGCGGTCCACTACAGCGGGAGTGCAAGCGCATCCACCGGCAGGCAACTGCCAGCACATACCAGACTGCGAGGGCATTAGTTTTCGGATAATGGCATGGCACACAACTTCAGACCTTTTAACCTTTGTCCAGACACACACGCACACACGACAGTTCGACCATCGATTTCGACGATGTCCACCGTGTGCCCCACAGCTGCAGCAGCGGTGGGAGCAGGAACGGTGACTTACGCAGGGGTTTATAGTGCCAGTAGACTTGCGTAGCATCTACCTACACTCTCTCCTCCCCTGCCTGAGCCCGGTGTCAAGACAGAGTCAAGAAGACCGGAGACGAGGGAGGCCGCAGGTGCATGGCTCGGACGGATCCTCGCCTTGGCGCTCGACTCCGCACCGCCTGGTCCACACACAAATGACCAGGATTTTGACCACAAAACAGTGGGGTGGTGGCAGAGGTCCAGTTGTACGATGATTGCGACAACAGGGTCTGCCAGCGTACCCCGCAAGTGTTGGCATTTGTTATTGCGCACAGATAACGCCTGCCAGAGTACGATGTGGCCCCCGTGTTGGTCCAGCGCATCTAACACGTGGCCCGTTTGGAGGGCACAACACACACACACACATGAATCTCCTAATGACTTCAGTTGCCACGAGGTGCAGCTGACACGGTGACTTGCGCGTAAATTAGTTTACAATGATTGTAGACTTGTGCAACACCTACCACATCCCCTCTTCTCCACTCCCCACCTGGACCAGGTGTCAAAACTGAGTCAAGAAGACCGGAGGCGGGGGAGGGCGCAGCTGGCTGGTCCACAACCAACGAAACCAACACACCAACGGGCGGTCGGAAGTATGAGGATGATTACTGGGCAGCCATGCCCACTGCAGCGAGAACGTTAGCACATCCACTGGCAGGGAGCGAGGTGTCAGGGAGCTGCCAGCACATACCAGACTGCGAGGGACTTGGTTTTCGGATACTGACATGGCATACAACTTCAGACCTTTAACCATTTCCCAGACACACACACACACCCACATGAATCTCCTAATGACTTCAGTTGTCATGACGATTGTTTGTCCATGCGTCAAAAAGCTAATTCAGTCGGTAGTGATACCTATGGGTCTGTCTTAAGATGGTGGTCAGTCAGCATGTTGTGGCCGCTTGCACTGCGTAGCGAAAATTTCCATATTTTCCGCTTCTGAGCCAGAAAGGCGTGTTCAGGGAGCACACATTCTGGCATTTTGTCGGGTTCGATGAAGTAGCTGCCAGTCAAGTAGACAGTGTTGTCTCCTTACCGTCTGCTTTCCAGAAAATGCCTTTTTTCCCCTAGAAGGGCGTAAACCATGGACTGCACTGCCCTCGGGAAGTGCTTTTTTGTCAAAAAGAGAAACGTAGACTACCATCTATGCTCTCAAAACCGACTTTTTCGGGAATGCTGCTTGGACAGTCAGTTTATTGTTTCAGTAGTGGTGGATTCCATACACTTCAGTAGTCTGGACGGGTAACGTGACCCAAATATGATCAAATTCACAGAGTCTGCCGAGGATTTCACCAGTGAGTCAAACAAATTAATCAACTCTGTCAAATACGTCAATTAATCTGCATTAACACGGGTACAAAATGTTTTTCTCTTACAAATACTTCAGGCATTATGTATGTACTCTCATTATTTTCGGATGTCTCTATTAATGACGTGAATCCGAAACGTCTGGCAGATTAAGCACCCATCCAATAATCAAATCCCCTATACTTACCCGATTCTTGGAACACATCATTTTCCTTTTATCGGGCAGTAGGCTGTTCTGCTTGTTTGCCGATGAAGAGTCCTCGAGCTTCGCGAAAACCTTACCTGCGTGCATATTTAACGTTTTGCCGGATGGATCTACATGCGAACTCGACAACGAAAACCTGGTTGGCGAGATGCGCAGTATGTGATTACAACAAAACAATCATCGACGGTGTTCTGATTGGTTGGTGAGCAGACAATTTGAGGCAGTGAGTTTATAATCGGGCGACGGAGCGTCCGTGGACAGAGGGAGACACATGAGACAAAACTGTAACCGAGAGTCTGTATGCTGTTTCGACGCAACGTCGGCCAAGTCTGACGGGCTCGTTTTAAAGACCGTCATCAGAGGCGGTACATTCATTTTCCTGGTGAATGTTTGAGCCTTCACTACTGTACCATTACCTTAATGAAATACTGTTTATCCCCTATTGAATTTAGACGTGCATTTACAGACTTCAGAAGTGGGCCTCAAATGGTCCAGTATGCTCTTGCTAAAGTATCTCACACAGCTATTCCAGGACAACCATTTTTATGAAAAATTTCAAACAAAAAACGCTAGTTTTTAAGCGCTTTTTGAACATAGTTTCCGTGGTAGATGACTGAACTGAATACATATCCCCACGTCGTGCGGTCTCATGAAGGTCCGTTAGCAAGAATTTTCATATTTTCGCAACTGCGCCACAAAGGCTTGCTCAGCACGCTCACGGTTTGTTTTGCATTCGGGCATTTCGTCGAGTTCGATAAGGTAGCTGCCAGTCAAGCAATGCATTTCTGTCGCCTCACCTTCTGCATTACGAAAAAACTTTTTTCATCATTGATTTCGCTGTCTTTGGGAGGTGTTATTTGCCAAAAAGAAAAAATCATAGGCTGTCTTCAAATTTCTTGAAAACTGATTGCTTTAGAAATCCTGCTTGGGCAGTCAGTTTGCTGTATCGGAAGTGGTGGATTCCATACACTTCAGTAGTCTGGGCGGGTAACTTGACCCAAATGTGATCAAATTCGCCGAGACTGCCGAGGATTTCACCAGTGAGTCAAACAAATTAATCAACTCTGTCAAATACGTCAATTAATCTGCATTAACACGGGTAGACAATGTTCTTCTCTTACAAATGCTTCAAGTATTATGTACAGTGAGTGTCGGGGTGTAGGGGGTGTCAGCGGTGGGTTCACGTGATGGTCGTAGTGGTCGCTCACTTGCTTGCAGGTGAGACTACGCCTAGCGTCCATTTGCTGGCACCCAACTCTCACCTGTGGCTCCACGTAACTGGGCTCTGCTCAGCGGCCACACCCCGGGCAACCGTCTCGACCGGCGGGCTAAACCAGGTGAGGGCGCTGTGCGCTTGTGCCGCGTGCACAGTGTACTGCGGACTCCGCTGGATGGATGGTCGGATGAAACACTGCGCCGGCATCGTCGAGACGAGGCTCTGCCTGGCACGCCGTTGGATAACTGCTGCCGGGACGGGTCTCCGCATCGCCTACGCTGAGACGCGCCCACCCTCGTCGACGGAGACCGCGAACTCACGGCATATGCGGTCGTTCTCCACTACGAACATAAAAGTCGTGGCCCCATAGTGGGATCGGTCGCGCGAACCAGGCACATAGGCAGCCCGATTCAGGGGCGGCACTACCTGCCCCCATGAGGGGAAGGGCCTAGAAAAGGTGGCCTAAACATTGCTGGGTACCACGCCGTCTCCAGGCTAGCCAGGGCCGCAGAAATCTAATCATGCTCGAAACAATCAAAATCGAAACAACAACAATACCAATAACAGCAGCAACCATACTCATTCTCCTCATCCTACCTCTTCTACCTCTTCCTCTGCCTATTCTTCTTCCCATTCTCCTTCGTCACCTTCTTCTCCATCTCCTTCCCGTCGCCCCACTCGTCGTCACCAGACTGGCAGGGTGAGTCCGCTCACTCTGGCAGCCTGGAATGTTCGTTCCCTTTTAGACAATCCGAGGAGCAACCGACCGGAGCGGAGGACGGCGCTAGTGGCACAAGAACTGGCGCGCTACAAGGTGGACATCGCCGCACTCAGTGAGACCCGATTCTCCGAACAAGGCCAACTGGAGGAGGTGGGTGCCGGCTACACCTTCTTCTGGAGCGGTCGACCCAGGGCAGAGCGACGGGACGCGGATGTCGCCTTCGCCATTCGGAACGACATCGTGGGATGACTGCCCTGTTTGCCGCAGGGCATCAACGATCGCCTGATGAGCCTCCGCCTGCCTCCCCGGCGGGGGGGGCCCAATTCGCCACCATCATCAGCGCCTACGCTCCGACGATGACCAACCCCGACGCCGTCAGAGACAAATTCTACGAGGAACTGCACGCCCTCTTGGTGACTGTGTCGAAGGCGGACAAGTTGATTGTCCTTGGTGACTTCAACGCCCGCGTCGACACAGACCATACTGCCTGGAGAGGAGTAATGGGTCCCCACGGTCTCCGCGGCTCAAACGACAATGGTCTGCTGATGCTCCGCACCTGCGCAGAACACCGCCTCATCCTGACGAACACGTTGAGCTGTCTGCCGGAGCGAGAGAAGGCCACCTGGAGGCATCCTCGGTCGCGTCAGTGGCACCTGCTGAACTATGTTCTCGTCCGAAGGCGTGGCCAGCGGGACGTGCTGGTGACGAAGGCGATCGCGTGTGCTGACGGGTGGACCGACCATCGCCTCGTCATCTCGAAGATGCGTATTCGCCTACAGCCTCGCAGGAGACCTCAAGGTAAGCGACCCCCAGGTAAGCTGAATGTTGCCTTGTTGTCTTTGCCCGCTCACCATCTCCATTTCAGCAATGAGCTAGCTCAACGGCTAGACAACCTCCCCGTCGCCGATGCCGTCGCTGCCGAAAATGCCTCCGTGGAGAACCGCTGGTTTAAACTGCGAGACACGGTCTAGGCGACGGCGCTCACCGTCCTCGGTCGCGCTCCCCGCCAACACCAGGACTGGTTCGACGATAACGACGTCGCCATCAGAAATCTGCTTGCTGAGAAGAACCGCCTACACAAAGCATACGTAGATCACCCCACTGATGCCACCAAAGCTGCTTTCTACCGCAGTCGCCGCCACCTCCAGCAGCGACTGCGCGAGATGCAGGACGCCTGGACTGCTAGCAAAGCTGAGGAGATCCAAGTCTACGCGGACCGCAACGAATGGAAGAACTTCTTCTCTGCGATCAAAGCTGTCTACGGTCCACCGACAAAGGGCCTTGCTCCTCTCCTCAGCGCCGACGGCAGCACTCTCCTGACTGAGAAGACGCAAATCCTTCAGCGATGGGCCGAGCATTTCCGAGACGTCCTAAACCGCCCTTCCGCCATCTCCGACGCCGCCAACGTGCGTTTGCCGCAAGTCGAGACCAACGCGGACCTCGACCTCCCACCATCTCTCCAGGAAACCATCAGGGCCGTGCAGCAGCTCTGCAGCGGGAAAGCACCCGGATCGAACGCAATCCCTGCTGAGGTCTACAAACCCGGAGGTCCCCAACTCATGGATCACCTGACTGCGCTCTTCCAGGAGATGTGGCGTCAAGGTGAAGTTCCGCAAGATTTCAAGGACGCAACAATCGTGCACCTATACAAGCGAAAAGGGAATCGCCAAATCTGCGACAATCACCGTGGAATCTCCTTGCTGAACATCGCCGGGAAGATCTTCGCTAGCATACTTCTCAACCGCCTCAATAACCATCTGGAACAGGGCCTTCTGCCGGAAAGCCAGTGCGGCTTCCGTCGTCATCGTGGGACCACGGATATGATCTTCGCCGCCCGCCAACTTCAGGAGAAGTGTCAGGAGATGCGGACCCACCTGTACTCTACCTTCGTGGACCTGACGAAAGCCTTCGACACGGTGAATCGTGAAGGACTGTGGAAGATCATGCAGAAATTCGGCTGTCCGGAGCGATTCACTCAGATGGTGCATCAGCTGCACGACGGCATAATGGCGCGAGTCACGGACAACGGAGCTGTCTCAGAGGCATTCGCAGTGACTAACGGAGTGAAACAGGGATGCGTGCTGGCACCAACCCTCTTCAGTCTTATGTTCTCTGTCATGCTGATGGACGCCTACCGCGACGAACGTCCCGGGATTCGCATCGCCTACAGGACGGACGGTCACCTCCTGAATCAACGGCGGATGCACTTCCAATCACGCGTTTCCACAACAACCGTTCACGAACTCCTCTTCGCCGACGACTGCGCCCTGAACACCACCTCAGAAGAGGAGATGCAACGGAGCATGGACCTGTTCTCCGCCGCCTGCGAGAATTTTGGTTTGGTCATTAACACGCAGAAGACGGTGGTGATGCACCAACCGCCACCCAACTCAGCCACAGCCCCCAACGCGTCGCCGCAAATCAGCGTGAATGGGACCCTACTGCAAGTGGTGGATAACTTCCCTTACCTGGGCAGCACTCTCTCCCGCACCACCAAGATTGATGACGAAGTCGCCAACAGGATCTCGAAAGCCAGCCAAGCCTTCGGTCGTCTCCAAAGCACAGTTTGGAATCGTCACGGTCTTCAACTGAACACGAAACTGAAGATGTACAAGGCCGTTATCCTGCCGACGCTACTGTACGGAGCAGAGACCTGGATGGCACGCCGTCTTAACCACTTCCACCTCAGTTGTCTTTGTCGAATCCTGCGTCTGAACTGGCAGGATCGCATTCCCGACAGTGATGTGCTGGAACGAACGGGAATGCTCAGCATCTACTCCATGCTGAGACAAATGCAGCTGCGCTGGAGCGGCCACCTGGTGCGCATGGACGACGAGCGGCTACCCAAACGACTCTTCTACGGAGACGTCGCGACGGGTTCTCGTCGTCAAGGAGGCCCAATTCGTCGATACAAGGATACCCTGAAGTCCTCCCTGAAGCTACTGCAAATCAACCCGACCAACTGGGAAGAGCTCGCCTGCGATCATCCAGCATGGAGGAGAACAGTGAAGACGGGCGCTGCTATCCACGAAGCCAACCGCATCGCCGCCGCCAAAGCAAAACGCGAAGCCCGCAAATCACAACTGCGCCCAGTCAGCAACGCTGTCGCACAACTGCTTCCAACGTGTCCTCGATGTAAGCGGACATTCCGGGCACGAATCGGACTTGTTGGACATCTTCGGATCAACTGTACCTCTCGAACTGCACCAAACTTCATCCCCCCGCTCGCGTCATCCTCGTCCTCTCTGCCGCCGAATAACTCTGTGAATTCTTCTGCACCACCACTTCCATCCTCCTCCTCCCCATCCTCCTCCTCCTCCTCATCCCCCTCCTCCTCCCCCTCCTCCTCCTCTGCCTCCTCTGCCTTCTCTGCCTCCTCTGCCTCCTCCTCCTCCACCACCACCACCACTGCCCCAACGGCGGCCGCTCAGGCAGCCGTCTCGCATATCTCCGACCGCGACACAACAACCGGCACCACCCCCGCCTCTCCCGACTCCAGCAATGAGAATCAGGACTACACCTGTCCTCACTGCGATCGCACCTTCACCTCACACGTCGGCCTGGTCGGTCACTTGCGAATCCATCGCACAGAGACCAGAGCACCAGTGCCTGGAGCACCAACCTACACCCACCAAGCTCGTCTCAACTGTCCACACTCTCCTCGCACTTTCGGGCACCGCATGGGCCTATTCGGCCACATGCGCATCCACAACGACCTGCGGTAGACAACCGCCGGTTACACCACATATCCACACACTCCCTACCCTCCTCCACCATCACCAACACACATCAACACTTACCCACCGCATGCACCAACTGCCGCCTTCCACGCAAGTGGGAAGTGTGCATCTCGTTTCGGTTCCCACGCGGCTTCGGCTGTACGGGTGATTTGAGTCCGAGACTATCCCGACACTTCAAGTGTCGTGGATAGGAAGGTTGCTGATTGACGCCCGTTCTCGGTTCACGCAGTTCGTCGCGTTGTGTTTTGTGTGGAGTGGCGGACTGGTGGGCTGGGGATGGGCTGAAAGAGCACCTTCCACGGCCCTCTCACGCAAGTGAGAGACACGCCGTTCAACCCCCGTTGTGTGAAATCCTGGTGTTTGTGTGTGTATGAGGGGCCAGGTCGTGCTGTGGCGCGCGCAGTCATGGTGAGTCGACCGTGGCAGCCACCACGCCCATCCACCACTCCAGTTTGCCGACCGGCTCGGACGGCGGCAGGAGTGTGGGAATGGGAAGGGAGAGTGAGGTCGACGACTCAGAGCACTTTTTCCTCACTATAATCAGTCTGACGCGCTTGAAGCTATCACGGTGCGCTAAAAGTCGTGGCTTGGAAGGTTGCCAACTGACGGGGTACCTTGGACCTCCTCCTTAACGGGAGGCGGTCTGAGAGTCAGGCTGCAATAGCTCCTTTTTAATGTGGCCTTTATGGCACTCCCACCACAGTGTGGGATCCGAGCCAGGCGTTGGCGGCACGCCTAGGTGCGGCTTCGGCCGTGCCAGCCTCCAAATCTCTGCTGTGTTGGTTGAAATCCTGGTTATTGTTGTGTGGACCAGGGGGTGTGGTGGAACGCTAAGATGAGGATCCGTCCGAGCCATCCACCTGCGGCCTCCCTCGTCTCCGGTCTTCTTGACTCTGTTTTGACACCGGGCTAGGGCGAGGGAGGAGGAGAGAGTGTAGGTAGATGCTACGCAAGTCCACCGGCACTATAAACCCCTGTGCAAGTCACCGTTCCTGCTCCAACCTGCTGTGGGGCGCACGGTGGACATCATCGAAATCGATGGTCGAACTGTCATCATCACAGTGAGTGATCCATCTCATGAAATGTTGGCTGGAATTCTGAAATTCGTTTTCGACTAGGAAGGATTACTTGGTCGCGGTTGTAATACTGATTATATTGCGGCATAATCTTATAAAATTTCGGACTCGGCGGGATGTCAGCTCTTGAATGCATTTGTTTTTAACCTCCTGTGTAAACCGTACCCGATAAAAAATGACTACTTAAGTAGCCTGCATCTTTCTCATTGATTTTCGATGGTCTTGCAAATTTAAATATATCTTATGGAAACCATAAACAAAAGTATGCTTTCTTTCAATCAATTAACAGAAATTTACGTCTTCTTTATATTTTATACTTAACGTCGGATTATAATTATGTTTTAAAAAGTTTTTAATTATGCGATTTTTATGACCTTGCAATGTCCATTCACATAGCATCTTACCGTTTACCACAGCTCCTCGTGAAATGTACAAGACAGTCCGCATCCATTGCAAAATTCTATGTACTCTGTATGATATCTTTTTAATAGCACAGAAAAATATGTGATTTCCTTTATACGGAACGCATGCACCTTGTAGACCGAAATCACTAAGCGCTAATGTGGCGAATGATTAAGGTCCAAGTTATTCGGCAATCAGTAAACTTTTTAGAACCTAATCAAATGCCTTTCTTGAGTATAAAATATAAAGGAGACGTGATCCTCTATTAATTGACTAAAAGAAAACCTATTTTGTCTATGGTTTCCATAAGATATATTTAAATTTGCAAGACCATTGAAAATCAATGAGAAAACTGTATACTATTTAAATAGTCATTTTTTATCGGGAACGGTTCATACAGGAGGTTGAAAAGCAGTGTTTTCAAAAGCTGACACCGTGCAAAGTCAGATAATATATAAGGTTATGCAGCAAGAAAATCAGTATTACAACTGCGACCATGTAGTCCTTCCTAATCGAAAACGCGTTTCAGAATTTCAGTCAACATTTCATGAGATCGGTCACTCACTGCATGTATTCCTGTTATTTTCGGATGTCTCTACTGAGGACGTGAATCCGAAATGTCTTTCAGATTAAACACCCATCCAATAATCAAATTCCCTATACTTACCTGGTTCTTGGAAAACATCATTTCGCTTTTATCGGGCAGTAGGCTGTTCTACTTTTTTTAACGATGGAGACTTCTCGACCTTCGCGAAAACTTTACCTACGTGCATATTTAACGTTTTACCGGATGGATCTTCATGCGAACTCGACAGAAAAAGTCTGGTTGGCGAGGTATGCAATATGTGGTTACAACAAAACAATCATCAACGGTGTTCTGGATAGCTGACGAGCTGACAATGTGAGGCAGTGAGTTTATAATCGAGAATGACGACGAAGCAGTGGTTGAGAAAAGGCATCCGTGAACAGAGGGAAACACATGAGGGGAAACTGTAGCCGAGAGTCTGTATGCTGTTTTGACACGTCACCCAAATCTGACGAGATAGTTTCAAGACCGTCGTCAGAGGCGGTACATTCATTTTTCTGGCGAATTGTTGAGCCTACAGTACTGTACAATTACCCTGATGAAATACTGTTTATCCCCTGGTTAATTTAGAAGTGCATTTGCACACTTCACAGGTGGGCGTCAAACGGTCCAGTATGCTCTTGCCAACGTATCTCACACAGCTATTCCATGACAACCATTTTAGGAAAAATTTCAAGCAAATAACGCTAGTTTGTAAGCGCATTTTGAACACATTTTCCGTGGTAGATGGCTAGCTGCCTGACGCCTCGTTGCGTCGTCAGACAGGTGGATAGACAGGCTGCCTCAGTTGAACCTGTCGTCTACCCGTCAGCACTCAGCATGGAATACACGACCTGGTGGTCGACCCCGTCGTGTGTGCTGTACTGACAGAGGCCCTGACGAATGCATGTAACGGGTTTCGAGAATTTTCATCAGCTGAATTTTTCATTTAACTTGCCACCTCACCTGAAGGAACTTTTTGACAACCCACGCAAACTGACATGCCTCATGTTGAAACTCTTGCATACTGCATGCCTAAGCCAATCATAAAATACCATTTTACTGACTTTGCTGCCTTCCTTGCACGAATTTTTTTCCCGAAACCAGCAAGCCGTCAATCATTCGCTGCAGTGCTTGTGGGTGGCTATTTCGGTAAAAATCCAAAATAACTGTCTTCGAGGAACTCACTCATTGGTTTGCATTTTGAAAAAGGGAGTGCGTATAGACTGGGTCATGCTGCGGTTAAGAGGACGAAAATGTTGTTTGGGACACGAGCATTTCTTTGTTCAGGCTGTCTGAAACGAATCCCATTAATATTCTCGCATACTGCATGCATCGGCCAGACAAATATAATTTGGTAGGCCATCAGAAAATGACCAACGTCAACGTAACTTCCATCTGAAATATTTAGTACACAATAATTGATAATCCACTATTACAAGTAATGCAAAAACGTCTATATAAGCTTCTCCAGGTGCAGCAATTCTGCGCAATTGGCATAAAAGTGTAAAAGCATAACACTATGATGTTCTGACAAGTGAGATTTTTTCGAAGAACTTTAAATAATTCCCGGGGCGTAAGGTCGCGAATCTGCCAAAATTTATCTCAGGCGAATTAAATGATCGTAAGAGACGAGTTGATAGCATCACGAATGCTTTTCGCAAGCTCGGTCCATTCAAAGCTTAGTATAATGTTTTCGTCAAGTCCGTTGGGTGGATTATTTTTATCAAATACTGTTTGACGACTGCAGTAGGTGAGCTAACTTATGAAATGTCAACCAAATTTCCAAAATGCGTTTTTGTTTTGAAAAGATTAATTAAGTAGAATTGTAAAGCTAATCATACCGCAGCATAATTCAACAAAAATTCAGTTACCTCAGGACACCGGCTTTCGAGTGAACTTCTTTTTGCCTGTGTGCAAAAACCACACTGCGAAAATGACTACATATAAAGCATGCATTTTTAACATTGATTTTCGATATCATTAAAAATTCAGTTGCATTTCATAAACAAAATGCATTAAAATATTCATTTTTACTCATTCGATGGAGAATTACGTCTTCTTGTAATTTTATACGCGAAGGAAAGGTGTAATTTGGTTTTTGAAAGTTTTCGCATTCCCGAATAATTTTGAACCCACCCTTCCGTTACATTTGCATTCAGGGTTTCCAAACTGCAAGCTGTGTATTTTTGGCGTACAGAAAAGCATACATTTCTGTACGGCATTGAAAACAACATCATATGGGATTCATAAAATTGAGCAGTGGATTTGAGCCATATTGTTAATGCTACAAGCCACATTGTTAAATGCAGAGACATGACGTTTTATAAACGGTCACTTCACGGTATTAAAAAATTAGAAACGATTTTAAAACCGAATTACATCCCTCTTACGGGCATAAAATCAGAAGAAGACGTAAGTTTCTACCAAAGGAGCAAAAATAAGAATGTTTTCATACCTGTTTGACATGAAATATGATTGAATCTTCAAGGGCACCGAAAATCAATCAGACAAATGCATGATACATAAGTAGTCATTTAATATAGTATGGTTTTTGCATACAGCCGAAAAGAAGTTCACATCTTGAGGTCACTGAATTAGTACAGCATTACGCTGCATGCTGCTTAGTTTTACAACCCTTCTTTATTAATTGTTTCGAAACGAAAGCGTCTTTAGGAATTTCGGTTGACATTTCATGGAGTTGCCCACCTGCTGTACATACGACTCAACTGCACCCAAACAATGTCATCGGTTTCATTACACTTTATTTTTATTTCCTCCTCAATCACTTTCGTCGGCCGAATACGTTTGTCCTTTAATAGGGGAATAGATGAATGTGAAGTCTGACAGTACCATTTTGTCGCGGAGAAAACATTTAATGCACATCTTACGGCTAATAACTTCCCAACAGTCATTTCTTGTTTGTGGCAAAATGCTAATGCAGTCGGCAGTGGTGTCGTGTGATGGTGGTCAGTCAGTATTTTTTGGCTACGCGCGTTATGCACCTAACAAATCATCAATCCCTCTCACCTGAAATGAATAGAAACGCCGTGTCTCGCTGACTTGTGAAATTCCTTCGGCGAAAATTTCCATATTTTTCGCTATTGCGTCACAAAGGCGTGTTCAACGCGCACAGACATTTGGTTTGGCATTCGGGCATTTTATCGAGTTCGATAAGGTAACTGCCAGTCAAGCAATGCATTTCTGTCGCCTTACCGTCTGCATTTCGAGAAATAATTGTTTTCCTTCCAGACAGCCGTTAGTCATGGAGAGCCTTGCCCTCGGAAGATTCCATTTGTCAAAAAGAAAAAATGCAGGCCTATTTCAAAGTTCTGGAGAACTGCGAAACGTCGAAAATGTTTGCTCATTTCCTACTTTAGTGGTAACGCATATCGAATTGCATAAATACACCTAAACGCACGTACATATTGCCTAGTTTTCAATTCAAACGCCTTTCTATACTATTTGAAGAGCTAACACCCATGCACATATTTATGACGAGGGGGGACTCGTGCCCGGTAGAAATTTTAAAGGCCTTATCAGAACAATATTGCATTTTTGGACACATAAAAGTTCGACCCCAGCAAACACGATGAGGGCTGTGTGCCCTTCATCATGGTGGATGCAGGGACGGGGATTTGTGCGTGAATTATTTTATGGTGGTGGTGGTGGTGGTGGTGGTGGTGGTGGTGGTGGTGGTGGTAGACTTATGCTGCATCCGTCGCGTTATTTCCTACACCAATCACCTGCACCCGGTGTCAAGAGAGAATGTAAATAACCGGATGCGGAGCTGGGGTAGCAATTTACAGTGTCAAACAGCCTGTCTATGCGTGTCACACACGTCCGGTCCATGAAGGTCAGGCCGAGACTTCAGAGGAACAAGAGGAGCTTGGATCTCAGCGTCCTCGAGGTCACTTTCGGAAGGGGCCATCGTGTCCTGTGAGCATTGATTTATTCTCTCAGTTTGCGGTATTCAAAGCGACGCAAACGAATTAAAGACACCTATCCAAGAATTACGAAACGCTGACGCATATTCCTAAGTAGTAGTGGTTTGTTACGTTGAGAAAGCTACTGCTGGCAAGTAAACCATTTGACCAATCAACCGTCAGGCAAATAAAGCTCTTGTTCCAGCAATCGTGTCTACTTCTTCACGACTGCTTACTGTGGCTCCTCTTTTGGCCTCTATTGGCAGTGTAGATACGAGCTAAGAGTCCAGACACGCGTTTTGCCGTTATTTTTTTGATGCATGCCGCAGCTGCGAGGGGTTCGGCTCGTCAATGTATCCACCAGCATTCGTTGGTGCTTTCTGGTAGATGCTCGCGATTTAGAAATTGTTGCTTTTTAATTTTACGTAGAAATTAACTGTGTGTCTCGGCTTTTAGTTAGTTACTGTGCAGTCAGTATAGTATCCTGCAACTTGGTATTTCCTTTTAACTTCCTGTCGGCAGTTAATGAATATAACGGGTTTATCCCGCTTTGGCTGATCGGAATCGGCCCATGTATTCATGCATCAATGTTTTGGTCAACATCTATAGACCTTAGTTCACACTGATTTACTCCTTGTCAGCAGTTAGTTTCTGAGGAAATTAGAGGGTAATGATTTTTTATGGTTAAGCAGAAAACCATTTTCCAATGTTCATGCATAGAAATGCTCCAAACCATCTTCCAGAAACTGGGGATTAACCTGATTCTTAATAGGATGGTCAACAACCACACCATCAGCATACTTATTATATAGATTGTCATTGAGCGAATTAAGGTTATCAGTGTGAAGTAAGAAGTGGAGGAGTGATCAGATAGAACCTTAAGTGACTACGCAGTTACTCGAAAGGACAGTCTATATCTGCCTGTCAAAAAGGAAGAACCGAGCGTGGGACGCAAATAACCAAGCCGAGGATAATGAACAGCGAGAGTCGCGGACAGACATCGTGTTAAGTACAGTGCTGACGGTAGATGCGTAGTCCAGAGATACACTACAATCCTTGTCTAACTCTCTTAAAATAGAGCGAACCACAAGAGCAGCAGCATCTAAGGTACTATATCTGGATTTTTATGCAAACTCTAAAGCGCCAGGCAATCAAGAATGTAAGGGCCTGATGGAGATGGTTGGCTTTTCCGTAGCCTCTCATGTTTCCGCTTCTTAAATCTTTACATGGACTAAAGAAAGAGGCACTTTTCGAAAACGGGTAAAGGCCGAGTTGCATGAGCAGAGCCATTACAAAAGCTAAAGATGCAGTCTTCAGGATTTGCTGCAGTGTAATCATAGCCTTTTTCAACCAACACGACAGGGAAGATAAAACTGACACGCGGATGGTGTTTTAAACGGCCTGAGATACCCATGATCTATGGTTGGACTCCGTACTGCCAACATCAGATCCTCTGCTTGCCCACGTTTGTTGAGTTAATATTGTATTAAGAGAAGAATATGCGTCTTTTATATACATTTCAAATTAATCAGCAAATGTTCTTCTTCATTGACTACTCCACATCGATTAAGCAAAAAGTCCTAATCTGACTACCCTTTGTCCAGATGCGAAAGAAGGAAGAAAGAGAGACTAAAAGCAAATCACCAACTGCCCTAAAACGACTTCCCGTAGTGCTCTAGTTGGCATGCCCGTTTCTGTAGACGCCAAAAATCCCGTGTGTTCTACCTGCAAACATCCGGACTTGGGAGCGAACAGCGAATTACTTGAGCTCTGTATGGGCACGATGATTGGCTTGCTGCGCGCACATAAAGGTCGGACCTGAGCGCTACGTACGATTAGTTGTTTGAAATGTTTTGGAAGCTCCTGTTTATGACACTTATGCATGGCACCTTCGGAGGTAACGTTTTTGCAACCTGCATTAACTCCATCTGGAAATTTTTAATTTTAATCCAAATTAGGAAAAAAATTCAAAATTTGCACAGCTGCCATTTTGTCCGGCAAACCAACATCAATCATCCTGTTGATTTTTCAGGGACAGAATCTACATTAGAATTCAAACAGGACAGCGATTACATCTTCTTCCACAATGTATATGGCAATGTTGAGGTATTTATCGCCCCTCTGAGATAGATGCAGTGTTTTGCCATCATACGTTGCCTGACACTACTGATTTTTTTGCAGTACATATCCGTGGACGGTGTAAACATCTCCAAAGCAGAGGAAGGCTCTCACTGTACCGCACCAAATGACTGCTGGGAATTAATTCTCAGTACGTTTTATATGCAGTCTTTTGTTACACAAGAAGCCAATGCCATTGAAATCGCATATTTTACAAATGTGTTAATTAGTATGGCTTTTCTACACCCCTCGAATCAGCAAAAGACATTTTACCATGCTTACTAGGAATATTTTCTCACTTCCCCGCCCTAGCCTCAGGTAAAATTAGGTCAAAATGCCGTTTAATTTAGACTCACGTGTCAATAGGAACGCTCAGTCTCTCAAACACTGCCTTGTAAAGTGAACGTAACTCGTAATCAACATGGGGGTGCACACAAGAGATGACTTTTCTCTTGAAACGTTGACTGAAACTCTTAGATTGGGTCTAGGTTAGAAAGGATTGTGCAGGTGATGCTGTAATATTGCTTACCAGACTGACGTGATTGAATAGCATCAAAATGCTTTGTGTACGCTGAAGGGCGGTCGTCCAGACAGTGGCTTCTAGAATACGAAGACGAAACAGGAAATGTAAGAATAAGAAATTTAATAAAATCCAATGTATGTGATCCGCCTGTCAAACACAACTGCATCTAGAATATTATAAGCCAACAAAATATTATGGACAATATGTGAACAAACGAGAAGCATTCCGTAGAAGTTATTTCTCAAGAAATGGAACCGGTGACGATGTAAGGCCTCATCCAGACGTTCCAAAATTATACTCTCCAAATGTTTTTTTGTATGCCGTCTAAAATGCCTTTGAGTTAAGTAACTGAGCGATCATCTCGTCTTTCTCTGACCCCAAATCCAACCCTGCGCATTACCCCAAAACAATCCTTAGCCCTAACGCCATACATTGTTCGCTTTCTACCTGGAATTCAACCTAAACTTTAACTGAATGATGCAAGACCCGTAGCAGGCGTCTAACTTGAGTATCCAAGAGGATTGGTTGTTTCTTCCGTTTTTGGGTAAAAGAATGACTGACCGGCTCACAGTGTTTTCTCATAAGCTGACAATTATACAACGTCCGTCTTTACGCTAATCGATAGAAATTTGTATGCTTACGTGACGAACAAACTGCCGAAGTGATTAAAGTAAATTACAGACGATTCAATCAGTTCTCTGTAAAATAGGTCGTTTTCATCGGCGATATTGCCAAATTTGCAATTTCCTAACACATCTTCAAAGTCCACATGCCTTGACTGATCCTTTTTGTATTACGTAAATAAAGGCATTGTTCTTGCACGGCTGGCGAATTTAATTATCACCAATTAAGGCCGTAGCCACGGGCCAATCATTAAAATATCTTCTATCCAGCGATCTGCCGTGCGACATTCTCCGAGAACGTGGAAAGTGTGTGGTAGATGAAAATGACTATGGGTTCTATGTATTCTGATGTCTTAAGGAACTTTAAGTTGGCGGCATATGTGAGCTTCTCAATCACCTCCGTACCTAATTCCTGACCGAAATGCCTTCTCTCAAGATAAACGACATTTAATCGCCCTTGGCTGGTTGAATGGACCAAAGGCGGCATTCACGATGCACCCTGCAAACTCCTCCGACCGACTTGCCGTAGGATTTCAATACAAGAAGACTAGCACGCCAGAATGTAAGTCTAGGAATGATTTCAACCTGACACGCAATAAAATCTCTCACTTGCACGGTTATGTTCTCGACGGTTCAGATTACTCACTAAGCAAATCATTCATTTGACACACAGCGTACATTAAAGAGTAGTTTTTCATCGGCGAATAGTGTTGGGGTACTCCGGTTCTCGAAACCTGTTAAATAAGATTCATTGGTTACCATGAGTACTATCAACATTTTGCTCCCTCTCTCTTGGACGAAATGATCAGATTCATTTCTGATTATTTTTTGGTTTTAACAGATTGCTGACCTATCTTGCAAATGAACTGCATGGCATACTATTAATTCTAGATCCGCCGTTGAAGAATGGAGCAATATCTGTCTTTACGAAAGAGCTCCATGGAAATCCATCGTTAGTACATTTTGTGCTGTCTAATGTCGATATTGGGGTAAGTATTTTGACCTACTTTACATTTATATCACGGCTAAATTTGAAATTTTTAACAGAAAACTGTTGCCTGTCCTCAGCCGCATGCTCAAAACTATTTTCTGTATGATTTGAAAAACCTTGGTAACCGGACTCGAGAGCATGCTGATTTTTATGTCCTGCTTGTTTCTGACGCGACTGAAATCCACCGCACCATCAATACATCAAGCACACTCTACAAATCCGACAAATCTCCCATGTCACAACTGCCGACAACTCTCCCCTCATTCACCAGCCTGGCCCTTGCCAACAGCAGCAGCGTCAGAGCAACCGCAACCGACTCGGCAGCTCCTAATCTATGCTGCACACTCTGCCACCGCACATTCAAATCACGCATCGGCCTCGTAGGTCGCTTGAGTATCCACCAGAGGCAGACTGTCGGACAAATGCCTGCAACACAAACATACACCCCTAACCACCGCCTCAGCTGCCCGGACTGCTCCCGCGCACTCGACTATCGCATGGGCCTCCATAGAAGCCTGTGGTAAATCACAGTAAACTAGACCACATCATCGTACACATCCTCATAGAGGCATGCGCCACACATGAGCACCTCCAACATCCCACACCACAGACCCAATTTTGGCACATCTCACGCAAGTGGTAATGGTGTTCTTTGACTTCATTTTTCATGTGGCTTCTTTGCTGCATGCGAGATCCGGACAGCGCACACGTTCCATGTTGAATCCTGGTGCGCTGCGCACGGGGCTAGGACAGGCTTGTAGCATGCGCAGACGGGTGGTTGTCTAGGCTCAGTTAGTCACCCCTCATCAGGCGGCTAGCCGGCTCGGCGAAAAGACTGGTACGCGGAAAAGGGCGAAGAGAGGCAACAAGAGTACATTTGAACTCGTAGCTTTAAAGGTTGCCTGCCGACGACCCAACGCAAACCTCAAAATCAGCACCGTGTGTGTGTGTGTGTGTGTGTCTGTGTGGAGTGGCCTACTGGTGGGAAAAGGGTCTGATTGCAATGGCTCCTTATAGATGCGATCATTTTGACCTCCTCTCCCTCCTATTCAGCTGGGATCCGAACTGCCCGCCCTCCATTTTTTCTTGTTGTTTTAAACCCCGATTCTTTGTACGCGGATTAGATGGTGTGGTGGCACGCCCATGTGCGGTTTCACGCCACACTAGCCCCCTCAATGTCAGCACGGTTGGTGGTGGGCATGTGTGTTTGTGTGGAATGGCATACATGTAGTCTGTGGGCTGAACTGCAGTGGCGTCTGCATGACGCGGTCATTTTGACTTCCTCCTCCATTCAGCTGGCATCTGAATTGCCACAACACGCCGGCGTGTTTTTCTGGTTTTGGAAAGTTTTGGCTCTCTGTGCGCGGACGTGGGGGGGGGTGTGGCGGTGGGTCTATGCACGGTTTCACGCCACACTAACCACCTGCGCCCTCTCTCGCCCCTTGTTTTTTCCTTGACCTATTGCGACAGCGATTCCAGACGGATGATGAGGAAGAGTAGAGAGTGAAGTAGATGCCACGCAAGTCCACCTGCAGTACAAAGTAATTCACGCGAAAATCACCCTCCCATAGCCTGCCATGCTTTGGGGCACACAAATGATGCCGTCGGCATCGACAGCTAGGCTGAGCAAAGTAAACTGCATCTGTCAACTTGAGACTAAATGCACACTTTTTAGCACAGTGAAACAATACGTCCCCATGCTGTTTAACCAAAATCAAATTTCATGAGCTCGCTGGTATATTAAAGTGGTGAATTACCGTTTGCCGAGTTCAGCCGACTTTTGGCCAAACTGCACTCTCTCCCTCTGGTACACTTTTCGGTAAGCTGTGGTTTCGTAGGCCCAACTGATGGACAAAATATCGTTAGGGTGGGACTTAAGTGTTAGTGTTAGGGGTTAGCGCAAATATTTCTCAACCATTCAGAGTACAACCGCGAATTCCCAATAGCTTTACTTTTGCATACAACTACTTGACCTCGTCGCCTGTGCGTTTCCCGGCGCCACCTATAGAAACCCCTATTGCAACCGGTTCCGCACTACAGATGACTGGGGTATGTTTACTTCAGGTGAGGCTACATCCGACCCACTTTCTACTTTTTAATACTTCAGGAAATAGACGTTGTCGGAAGTATATCAAAGAACACGAGCAGTGGATCTTTCCATGTGGGTAAATCGCCTGGTACGTGAATTCCGCGGTTTGAAGATTGCATTATAGTCAGGTTAATACATGCGGATTATTTTAAAGAATATTTTCCGATTAACGATCCTTTGACGTATGCGTGAGAACTTTCAGGATCCCCGGAGCGAAAATTTATATATTACACGGGACATCTGGAATCCAAAGTACGAATGATGAAGATAAAGTTCGCGAGCGGCAGAGTTGACAATATAAGGATAATTCCTTACACCAAACCTGACGCGCCGGTGATGTTGTCAACTTTCATTGATTACGCGAATGCTTTTAAGGCGAAGTGACAGGACCTTCAGGTTGTGGGTGTTTTATTTTTCGGTGGCATGATTTCAAACGTCAAATACCAATAAGTGGTGCTAGAACACTTGCAATTTCGATGTATTTCAATAAAGAATCATTCTTATCTGTATCTGCGATAATTGAAACCAGTTGTTTCCAGACGCGTCCGATCCGTTGTCAGTACTGCAGAGAGTCGATTAAGAGAAGGATTGCGAAAGCCGAGAAACCCAGTTCTGTGCTGGTCTGTAAAATTCTCTATCATCAAGAAGGGCATTGGCTTTTCGCTTATAATCTTCTCTATTCATCACGACGGTTGATCGTCCCATGTCAGCAGGTAGAATGATAATGCTGTCGTTCCTTCTCAGCTCTCTCATAGCCTTTGACTCACTCTGCGAAATACATTTGGTTGGTCTGTGTGTCATCAGTAAGGAGGTAACAGACTGTCGGACGGAGTGTTTCATGTCGTCGGATGTTTCACTTCTCACAAGCATAGCTTCCAGGGCTGCAATGAAGTCACAAACGAAGCTCTTCAAACGGATCCAAAGTCAATGCAGCAAACCGGAGGACAGAGCACGTGAGGCCCCTTATCTCCGCGACCAGTTTGTGCAAAATGACTATCCGAGGGCTTTCATAAGTCACTGCCTACGCGGTCGCCACCAGAGAACTCGAACATCAACGCCACCGACGATATGGCATTCTCTGCCATACATCAAGGGTGTTTCAGAAGCGACCGAGCGCATTGCTGCGCAGCTAGGTGTTGGAATTGCACACCGCTCGAAAGCCACCATGCGCAAAAGGGTCAAGAAAATCAAAAACCGGTTAAAGTCTGAAGAGCAATCTGGAGTAGTGTATCGCATTCCGATTCAAGATTGTCCTTGTAACTACACACAACAGACTGGACACATGTTCGGATCGCGCATACACGAATATAAGCTGGCTGTGCGGCGAGGCGACGCATTATTACAAGTGGCCGTCCACACCTACGAAATGGGTCACGAGTTTGACTTCGCAGCCACCAAAATACTCGCCCACGCCGGAAACAAAGCAAGCCGAGAAGTGATTGAAGCCTGGGCCTCGGATGAGAACTCGGTCAATCGATTTATCGATCTGACGTCGGCGTACAAAGCCCCGCGTAGTCGCCTCTGGTCGTGCGCCGTCCGTCGATGATTGGGCCTACATGCCTTATAACTGCCGCTTGTTCTGTTTCTGCCACTACCTGTGACGGTGAATTCCTGTACGAGTCTGAAAGCTCAGGACAATAAACAAAGTGTTCCGGTGCTCGAATCTTCTTCTTCACTTCAAAGAAATATTTCATTGCGCTAAATGGTATGACATTCTGGAACCAAAATTGCACAGATTTACATGCCGAAAGTTTCCCTGAATGGGGCTCTCCAGGTACTTTGAAAATGATATATTTTTTTCTTTACATGGAAAGATGGTAGAGGCCACGGCCATTCAACGCGAGATATCGGTCGAGGTCGTGAACCGTTTGCATGTATTAAAAGATATTATCGATATTTTTGACAGGAGAAAGAGAGTGCGGTAGATGTTTCGCAAGTCTACTCCCACTCTAAATTAATTCACGCGATAGTCACTGCGTCTGCTTGACCTTGCGGTGAAGGACATGGTGGTCATCTTCGGTCAGACTGTGAAGACTAGGCTCAAAAATTATGGGTTGCAGCATGACCGTCCATATGCAGTTTTGACACTTAAGCTTATTTCCAACAGTGATTCCGCCTTTAACCTAAGACAATTGTTCTGCACCTTACGCAAGCAGCCTATTAGATTTTAAAGAGAAGTAATAACCCTTTCGGTAAAGTAACAGGTTACGAGATGCCGTTCCTTCTAGTCAAATAATGTTTTAATATTTTGTAACTGAGTTTCTCGGGTTTCGTAATCCTTCACTTAGTCGATTCTTTGCAGTACCAACAACGGATCACACGCGTCTAATAACAACTGGCTCCAATTATCGCAGATACACATAAAGTGCAGAAAAACACTTTTTACTGGAATACATCGAAATTACAAATGTACCAGCACCACCTATTTTTATTAACTGTGGGAAAATACTGTCACCGAAAAAACCCAACACCCAAAACCTCAGGGCCATTTCACTTCACCTTGAAAGCATTCACGAAATCAATGAAAGTTGACACTAACACCGGCTCGTTAGGTCCGGTTCACGGAATAATTGTTATATTGTCAACTCTGCCGGTCGATAACTTTATCTTCATCACACGTACTTTGGTTGCCAGGTGTCCCGTAAAAAGTATGACATCTTCATCTGGCTGTCCTGAAAGTCAGCACGCATATGTCAAAGTGATCTTTAATCTGAAGATATTGTTTGTGGCTAGTGCGACATGAAACCGCACATAGGTGTGCCACCATGCCATCTACACCGCGAACAAAGAATCGGGGTTTAAAACAACAAGAAAAAAGGGATGACGGACAGTTCGGATCCCAGCTGGATGGCAGGGGAAGGGGGTAAGAATGACTGCATCTAGAAGGCGCATTGCAGTCAGACCCTTTGCTCACCCAAAGGCCAATAAGCACAAACACACACACTGTGCTGACTTTGAGGCTTGGGTTGGGTCGTCGGGTGGCAACCATCAAAGCCACGACTTTAAACACACCTTGATTGTCTCTCTTCTCCCTTTTCCCCGTACCAGTCGTTTGTCCAAGCCGGATAGCCGGCTGATGAGGGGTGACTAACTGAGTCTAGACAACCACTCGTGTTCGCGTACCACAAGCATGACCTAGCTGCGTACACAGCGCGCCAGGATTTAACATGGAGAGTGCGCACTGTCCCGATCTCACATGCAGCAGAGAAGCCACATGAATAAAGAAGCCAAAGAACACAATTACCACTTGCGTGAGATGTGCCAAAATTGGGCCTGTGTTGTGTGATGATGGAGTTGCTCATGTGTGACGCATGTCTTGATGGGAATGTGTGCGATGTTGTGGTCTAGTTTGCTGTAAATTACCACAGGATACTATGGAGGCCCATGCGATAGCCGAATGCGCGGGAGCAGTCCGGGCAGCTGAGGCGGTGGTGTTTGTTTGTGTTGCCGGTACTTGTCCGACTGTCTACGTGTGGTGGATTATCAAGCGACCTACGAGGCCGGTGCGTGATGTGAATGTGCTGTGGCAGGGTGTGCAGGACCGGTTAGGAGCTGCTGAGTCGTTTGATGTTTCGCAGGTGCTGTTATTAGTGGTTGCCAGGGGGGGTGTCATAGGCAGTATTGAGATGGGAGATTTGTCGGATTTGTGGAGTGTGTTTGAAGTGCCGATGTTGCGGTGGACTCCGCTATCGTCGTAAAAAAGCAAAACATACAAATCAGCATACTCTCGAGTCCGGCAAAGAAGGTTTTCTTAATCATACAGAAAATAGTTTTGGGCGTGTGGCTGAAGACACGCAACAGTTTCCTGTGATAAATTTCAAGTGCAGTCGCGATGGCAAAGTAAACAAATTCAAAATACTTACCCCGATATCGGTATTAAACAGCAAAACATGAAAAAGCGGTTGATTTTCATTGAGCTCCTTTGCGAAGACAGATGCTGCTCCGTTCTTCAACGGTGGATCTAGAATAAATACTATGCCATGTAGTTCATTTGCAAAATAGATCAGTAATCTGCGAAAATCAGAAAAGTCACTTTTTTTGTATATATGGTTACTCAGAAAAGTATTTGATCATTTTGTCCAAGACGGAGGAAGTAAAATGCTCATGCTAACCAATGCGCCTCATTCAAGAGGCTTCGAGAACCGGAGAACCCCAACTCAGTTCGTCGATGAAAAAGCACTGGGCAATCCATGCTGTGTCAAATGAATGGGCGCTCTGAAGGGTGGGAGAACAAAACCGTGCTAGTGACATATTTTTTGTTGCATGCCAGATTAAAGGCCTTCCTAGACTTACATTTTGGCGTGCCAGTCTTCTTGTATTGAACTCCTACAGGACGTCGATTGGAGGGGTCCATAGGGTGCACCGTGAATGCCGCATGCGTTCCCTTAAACAGGCCGAGGGAGAATAAATATCGTCCACCTTGAAAGAAGGCATCCCATTTCGGAATTAGGTACGGGGGAGATTGAGAAACACATTGACTATTTAGGACATACTATTTATATTCCGTCAAGTCAAAGTTCTTTAAGGCACCAGAAAACATAGTCTCATAGGCATTTTCATCGAACGCCACTTTTGCCCGTGCTCAGAGAATGTCGCACGGCAGATCGTTGGAGGGAAGATATTTTAGAGTTTGATTTTTAGTTCCGCCTTTGACTAGTGATAGTAAAGTACGCCGACCGGGCGAGAACAATATCTTTATATATGTAATACAAAAAGGATCAGTCAAGGCATGCAGACTTCGCAGAGGTGCTATGGCGTTGCGATTTGGGCAAAATCGCCAAAGAAAGCGGCCTATGTTACAAGGTTTCTGACTTTACCCTCTCATATTTACTTTAATTTTTTTAACAGTTAGGTCGTCTGGGAGAGCGCACAAATTTTTATCGATTAGCACGAATACAGGCACTGTTTAATTGTCGGCTTATGAGACAACACTGTGAGCCGCTGAGTTAAAAAATCGATCCTCTCGGCTGCACGATTTAGAGGCCTGCTGCGGGCCTTGCATTGTTCAATTAGGAATTAGGTTAAATTCCAGGCAGGAAACGAAAAGGTTTTGACGTTAGGGTTATGGGTAGGGTTGCATTTGGGGTTAGAGATAGACGAGATTATTTCTCAATTAATTAACTCAGATGCATTATACAGTGCGTGACCGATCTCATGAAATGTTGGCCAAAATTCTGGAATGCGTTTCCGAATAGGAAGGATTACTTAAATGGGGTTGTTATGATTGATTATAATGCAGCATAACCGCATAACATTTCGGACTTGCCAGGATGTCGGCTTTTGAATGCACTTCTTTTTGACCTCCTGCAGAAGCCATACTCGGCAAAAAATGGCTACTTATGTAGCATGCATTTTTTCCAATTATTTTCGTTAGTCTTATAAAT